GAGAAAGCTTAAATTCATTTCATGGAAATGATTGGTCTTGGCTGTAAAGAATATTCTGTATATTTAGATGCGATATTTCCTTTTTGCTTGTCTTTGAATTGAGTCTGTTGGGAAGATAGCTGAGCAAGATCAAATCGCTGCAGTAGACCGCCCAGAACTTTAAATTCACATGAACAGAGGTGTATTTTGAGATAAATAACTCTTACAAGTTTGTAGTCTCCTCTCAGCACAGAAGGAAGGTGGCAGTAGGAGTTTTTCCCTCCGTCTCTTCTCTCATCCTCCTTCAACCCTGTTTCTGGTAATTATCTCCCGTAAACACAAATTTCTGGACTGGTAACATCAGAAAGTTTGTTAATCAAAAAGCATTTTGGAATTTCTCTAGTAGCCAATTTAGGAACTGAAAAAATGATTTCTTTAATGTGCAATTAACATACATTAGGAAAAGCTACTGTATTTTGTTTGCTTAAGTGTATTGCTTTCCTTTAGTTTGCTATCACGTAAGGTAATTTAAGGTAACTTCTTTCTTTGTAGAGGGTTCTAATGCACCTTCTAATGCGCTTTGCAAATTGCTGCTGGTCTTGAAAGACTGGATGGCATACTTTCCTGAATATGTGATGTTTTCCCAGAGAACATGAAAGAATAGCGAGGAAATTTAATTTTCTAATGTTTTTTTTTTCATTTTGTAAGATGATTCTTCTATTTTCGTCTTTTACTCAAGGTGGCATATGTGCTCCAGGACTGGTGGCTTTCTTACTGGTAAGTTGATGATAATAACTGGTCAGTCATTTCTGCTGTTTTGGTCAAGTGCTGTTTGTCTAATAGAAATCAGTGTTGTATAGATGGGGGAGGGGGGAATCTGTTCTAGGAAACTTCAGAATATGCATGATCTTTTTCTGATGTCCACTCATTTTGTGTGGGGAAAAAAGATTAAACTTTATGCCAAAGTGTAACCTGTGATTGCTTCTCCTCGTGGTGTAATGGATCACATCAGCGCTTGGGATCTTTTGAACTAAAGATTTCAATGGAGTTGGATCTAGAAACAGTTAAATGTACTCATGAATATTTGCGGAATGTGATTTGATGATGGTTATCTTCTGTATGCATTTCCACAGGGCAAATCATCAAGAAAAGTTGAATGTCACAACAAATGGAAATAATGGAGCAAATGAGACTGAACATCTAGACCTTAACTTTTATTTGGGAATTTATGCAGGTAATTACACATGCATATGTCTGTGTCTAAAGATGTATTTATTATCTGACCTATCATAATAAAGAGTTTTGAGAGGTGTGAAGCAGCGGCAATGTGGGGAAATGTGATTTCTAGCAGTACATGAGTAATGTCTTAACAGATTAGGAGCCTGAGTCTTGCTTCCTGACTAAATTAATTAGAATAAATAAAATTAAAAAAATCTAACAGAAGAAATAGGTTGAATGCAGACTCTTAATTTGCTTTGCCTGGATTTTGGAAAGTAAGCTAGGAATTGAGTATTCAAAAAGTCAGTCACCGTAAGGTTGTGGTTATTGTCTATACTAATAGGTCATTGAGCTAAATCTTCAGTCATTATATGGATGGGCAAGAGGGATTAGAAATGGATCTTCATTCTGTGCTGTTCTAAAACTTGGCATGGCTGCATTCCTTCTGAAGTGCCATAGCAAAAGAACCAGTTTTTAAAAAGCATCCTAGATGGGTACGCAAAGCGGTGTGTTAAAAAACATTTCAGTGTATTTCAATAGGTAGCCATATGCTTCTGAATATCCATGAAAGGGCATTAATCCTTGTATTCAGGCATCCAAACATCTTGGAATACTGCTCTGAAATGTGGTAAAAATTGGCACAGAAAAATCATGTGTAGAAATATGCTCTCAGACTCTGCTATTTAGTGCTTCTAGTGATGTACAGTTTTGTATGGCATGGTAATTTCTTGATGGAGATGTTAATGATAGGTCTGAGAAAACAGGTGGAATATCAGAAGAATATGCATTGAATGTATTCAGGACCGTCTCTCATGAGTGAGAGGATAGGTGGAGGATTCTTTGTTTTTTTTTTTCGGGAGTCCACGTGATCTAAGTGGTTGACAGAAGACATTGTGCTTGGCTTGGGAAGCAACAGTTTAGGAGCCAGATAAACTTGGCTCATATTTTCTCTCTGTAATGTCTTATTTCATGAACCGTTCCAGTGGACTGCACAGTATGATTAAGTGTGGCAAACTTGGCTTTCTCTGACCATATAACCTAAACTACATTATGAAAAATTTTATCCTTTAAGGCAAATTTTGTTCTAGATAGCAGAACAGCAAAAGTTACCTTTATATTGAAATGTTCAGATGGCTTAGTGAGATATTTGCAATAGTTGAACAGACAGCATTGACTTACCTACTCAAAATTGTAAGTGAAGTTGAAAAAGTTATTAAAAGATAGTATGTTTCATATGAAATACATAGTAATCTAACTTACCTTTTTCTATAGCCTCTGAAACTGTATAAAATAATCTAACATTTCTATTTGTGATTCTCAATGTCTGGAGAAAGAAAAAAATCACCATGGTAGCTCCTTCCTAGTCCTTGTTGTTTCTATGAGAGATTTAGCAGAGTAAAATTTCTGTTAATGGGAAACCCCGCTGGCCAGAACCAAAGTACCAATTCCACACCTTTTCTATAAAGTGAGAGTGCAAAGAGCCTCTCTCATACTGAGGTGGTAATCTTGTAAACTGGAAAAGCAAAAATCTTTGGCATGAGACAGACCAAATGAAGGACTTGAAAGTAAGTCTTGTTCCTCCCCTTTCTCCCCAGCCATTAGGTCTTTTCAGGTGATTCGTTTGGTGAGGGTCATGCCAGCAGCTTCCAGTGGCTTCCAAGCCTGAGTGAAGTTGTACAGAAATGTGGGTTCCTGGGATGCGCTCCCTCTCCTCCCATCTCTCCCACAGACTACTGTTAGGTGTGGGCTCTGCCACAGCCTCCTGCTTAGTACCCCTTCTGCTCCCTTTTTGCATGACCCAGCTTTCCTGTTTGGGTACGTGCAGTTCCTCTTGGAAAAGTTGTTTTCTTTTACCTGGCCCGAAATACAGCAATCAGGACATGGCAAACAGGTGCTCATCCCTACTGCATGCTTTTCTCTTAAAAACAACATTGCGCAGAACATGAGCAATAAACTGTGAGCAGAAAATGGAATAGTGGTACCTTTTCTTGCATCCTAGGAGGATACAGCAGTAAGCAGGATGGAATAACTGATTGACTTAACACATCATGTAATTTCAAACCTCACTCTATCCCACTGTTACTACTATAGCTGTACCTGAATTGTCTCCAGTTTTAACCTGTCCTTAAAACAGGCAATATTTTATGTTGATAGTTAGGGTCCAGCTTAAGGGTGTCCTCAAGGCCTGAGTATCTGGGCTTGTGGTGACTATGCTTAGTTTCTGGAGCGGATCACCTGGAACCTGGAAGCACTGGTAAATGTAAGGTTAACACCTTCACTGTTCACCTTCATTGACTGGGAATTTGGGCAGCCACATTGGAGATTACACACAGCAAACAGAGCAGCAGCAATCTCATCATTCCTTGTTTCCATCTTTTGCCCTGTATCACCTCTGTCTTGTAAGTGGAGATGTGCCCAGAAGAAAGACAAACAGTCTGCAGACCAGTTCCCTAGGAGGCCTCTATTTCACATGGCATAAGGGATGCATCTTATACTGTGTTAAAGAAATACACATAATTTAAATGATTTGATGTGATTTACAAGGGGAAGAATGGCATGAGTGGTTTGGGCTGATTGAGAATAACTCAAGGTTGTCTCTAAATAACCATGTATATATTACTTGGTTAATACCTGCTGGCAAATGTTGAATCTTCACAGTGACCTCTGGAAGCCACAATTATACACGGCACTGTGAAATGAATTTCTTAGCAGAGCTGTTATGCAGAAGGTTTTAATACAGATTTATTTCATGGGTTAACAGACATTTCCTACATTTCTATGAAATACCAATTCTTTCAAACTGAAAAAGAGGAATTGTTTAAAACAGTGATATGACAGTAACTGAAGCTTGTGACAAATATAAGATATCTATGTTCTGCGCTTAGTCTGAGTCCCTAGGCTTAAGTTTGGATTCTTGCTAAACAGAGAAGTCAACAAAACTTGGTTTTAGTTCAGTTTTATTTTTAAATTCTTCTCTTTGTGAAAGATGCATATCTGTATGCATGCTCTGTCCATGTTTTTTTAATTTCAGGTTTAACAGTGGCTACAATACTGTTTGGCATAATAAGAAGTCTCCTGGTGTTTCAAGTTCTTGTTAATTCTGGTCAGACTTTGCACAACAAAATGTTTCAATCCATTTTGAAAGCTCCTGTCTTGTTTTTTGACAGAAATCCTATAGGTAAGTTTAATAGTAAAAAATCCTTTAACATTTAATGTACCTCATTGATTATGTTAACTATACTATTTCTATGCAATTATGATTTTATAGTATTTTTGCACATTTTAGGGGTATTTTGCTTCTTTTACTTAAAATCTTTAAATTTAAGTGTGGTCTTTTTAAATTTAAAAGTCAGAATGTTGACTGCTTATTGATGGTTGATCTTTCTCTCTTCAAATGCGGTCTACAGAAGAATGAATTACCTGTGGCTTTGGTGTTATACCTTGACCTGCTAGTTGCATTGCTGTTCTGATTCAGTTACACAGGGTTGTTTTCCACACGCTGAATGTATATGCATGCATTTTGTGGGAATGCCTTTCTTGTGCTTTTCTTTGAAAGCTTAATCCTGGCAAGTATTTGCCCTTTTAAAAAATAATTTGAAGCATGTGTAGTACTTCACAGTTTTGAGAAATTGTGTAGCTTACTATCCTTCCAGAATACACAAAAGCATAAAGCATGCAATTTAAAACTGTAATCTGGATCCTTATGTTCTTCAAAAGAAATGAGAGGGAAGCTGGAGCAGAGTGAGGAGGGTAGGGAAGTGAGGTGGTACTGATTTACTAGCCAGTCTTACATGAGAAACAGAAATCTGATGGTCTTTACTCCCTTGAAGAAAAGGAACATAGACTTGTTCTCATAGTTCCAGAAGTTGCTTAATGGTTGTAAGGGTATATAGAGATGGCTTTATTATTTCAGAGAAATTAGTAATATTTTCAGGACAAAAATACTTATGGAGAAAAGGTTCATGTCCATAATACGAAGAATGAAACATGTACAATTTCCCCTTTAGAAAAAAAAAAATTACAACTGCAGAAGTTGAAGGCTGTGTTATATGGTCTACTTGTTCTACTTGTGCTGTGTGTCTGTGGTAGTGCAAATTCAAGACCACTGCAAAGGATTAAAAGCAAAGTCATGAGCTCAGGAGACTGGTTAGCGGAGAGCTAGTGAGAGTACATACATCAGAAGAAATTGTAGTACTGATGGGGTTTGTTGTCAGATGGGCAGGGATCTTCCTTTTCCCTCTCTCTCTCTCTCTCTCTGTGTCTCTTTTTGTGTGTGTGTGTGCACAGCATACGCAGTAACTATTTTTGAGGGAATACATAATCATCTTGTAAGAATGCCCATAAACCTGGCTCATCATAACAAACTAAGAACTACAGAGCAAATATGAGGGACAATGTAGAGTAATAAATCACAGTTTGCTTTGTAACATACTGTGAAGCTGAAATTAGCAGTTCTTTGTAAAAGTGACATTCATAAAACCTGCCTATCGCTGGTATTCACACACTGTCATGACTTACAGATGCATGTTTCTATTTATCAGCAGGTATTTTATAATAGAAGATTAACTTCAGTGTGCGTATATTTCTTTCCCTTCATCTTTTTTTTGGTCATGGTATCATGCAAAGGTACTGCTGCTCTGATCTATACATCTTTTGAAAAAAGAAAAAAGAAAAGGGAAAAGATGACATGTGAGATGATGCTCTTGTTCAGAAATGGAGCATATAGCAGTTCTGAAATTCTGTTTTTAACATCTGTGTTTCATTGTCTGCTATATGTGGGTTTTTTACTATGTATTTATCTTTTAGCACTTCAGATGCTATTTTTTTGTATTGGCGTGAGATTTGTTTAAGTGGAAGTAGTTGGGTTTTTTTCCGTTTTGTTTTTCTTTCTTTTTTTAAATATTTCTTACTGTGAAAGACACACTAGAAAGAAATAGAAATTATTAAAGGCTCTTTTTTCTAGGACTGTGATTATAATAGCCAAGCCAAACTGTAAGTTATCATATCCCGTATTAGCAAAGCTGACATTGTGGTGTCAGATCTGTCACTTAAGCATCCAGCGTATTCTCAGTATTTGTGTGAGGTCTCTAAGACCTTAGCAGAAGCAGTTGCTGAACTGCCAGTATTTTGAACACACGGTGATCCACGTTCCAAAGTCAAGGAAGGAAACTTAAATAAATAGACATCCAAAGCTCTCGATAGTTCTTATTGGGGAAACAGACTAATGAGCAGCATCAGGGAGGCGACATTAGGAAATGGAAATACGTGGTGAATCATGACATGTCTGTCAGCTCCCAACAGTGTAGATCCAATCAGTCGTGGTGAATAAATGAGATGACTTATTTCTAAAAAAATTATGCTTTGTGAATCAGTTTAGGCAGAAACCCAAGATCTCTCTTTACAGATTGCATTAGCAATATTTAGGGAAGGGAAGGTTGTAAAGGGAATAATAACGAGCATCTTCCCCAGATGATAAAAGAATTTGAATGTATTTTTGGAACCTGAATTACATAGCAGAGACAGAAGAGGAATATGAAGACACCTCTCCTTTTTCCCCTTCCACCCAAAAAATATTTGTATGTACACAGATTTCACCTTTCTGTAATTTGGCATAGATCTAAAAATAGTTAGACAATACTGCTTTAAATATGTTTTGTGTTGGAAGGACCTTATTAGTAAATGACTGTCTCTTTCTTAGGCAGTTAACCTAGCCCTATTGAGCTGATAATCCTAAGTGACTAAAGCTTATTGCGTTATCCAGCATTCAGAAAGAATGATCAGATATTTATGACTGAAATTCAAATTTATCAGCAGGTATCTATACAGCATCACTTAAACAGCTATAGTGAAATCTTGATGGGAAGTTAGAGATTAAGGGTTATATCTTGGGCTTTAGCACATCTGACTTCTCTGCGTTGTTGACAGAACTTGTTTAGTTTTTGGAGGGTAGAATTTGACCCTCTTGAAACTTCCATTGCTCTTCTATCCATATACCAGTAAGGGAATTGCGTGCATGTCAAGGTATTTGTAAGGAAGAAAATGTGGATGTTTCCTGCTTCATAGTGAATGCTTTATATATTCCTTTTCGTGTGTCACTTGCGGGAATAAAGGAGTTGATTTCTGTGCCTGTCTAGCACAAGAGGGCAGCATGATCTGTTTTATCCCGGTCTAGCATTACAACAGCTTGTTAGAAGGATAACAGAATTTATCTGTTATGTTTTTAGAGATGATATTTGAGAAGTGAATTTTCAACCTCTCCACTGAGCAATAGTAATGTGGTTCTGTTCAGTTGTCCTCATTATCTGCAAGAATAATATTTTCTCTTAACCTTTTACACAGTAAGCTTTTTCACCTTCATGTAATGCTGAGTTCAGGAACTTTGTTGGCTTTATAATTAGTGGCCAAAGGTTAGATAACCCTATAGAGTCTGATGCTTTGGTCCTGTCAAGGAGACCTTCTTCAGCCATTATTCCTTTTAATTTCTTTTTCAAGTGTTTGTAACATTTCAAAACAAATTTGCTAGAAAGCTAGGTAAGAGAGACTGGTATTTCAGCAACAATTACTTGAATTGGGAGTTCCCTCTTTTCAAATTAGTTTCTTATCGATAGTTTAGGACATCCTAGTTTTGACAAGCTTCAGGATTTGATTCAAGGTTACTTGTTTAGCTTGTAGATGAATCGTCCTTTTTGGGGATTTGGGGACAGAGATTTCTTTAGAGGAGGAATGCTAATGTGTAACTGTATCACTTTCAGTAACGGTGATTTTGGTGGAGACCGTGTGTAATTTCGAATTGCATTGAGTTTAGGAACCTGAAACTTGCTGCTGCTGTGCTGATGGGTGCTGTAAGAATGAATGAATGATATGCATTAATTTGTTCTGATAAAATAGGAATCTCTTCCCCTCCAGAGATCTGTCTAAAATTCAAGTTGAATCAGAACCATTACAGAAACGCGTATGAAAATCTAGCCCTTTTTTTAAATTGTATCTCTCCAAACTCTTGGTTCTGACAGTCTGTAGAAGGAGGAGAAATACTTTGGCAGACATTACAGCCTTTCTGGGCTTCCTAGAAACAGAAAGCACTGAATTGTGTGATGGTTGTCCTCTACTTGTTAAATTAGCAGAATTTTTTCCCCTCCGACAAATGCTTTGTGGGAGCATTAAATAAACATTCATCTCTGGGTGCTTACCTAGACTTTGAGATTTGACTAGGTTACAAAGAGAAATATTTTCCTGTTTTGACAGCCAGAAATGACATGCCAAACTGATAGCTAATAGCAGAACATAAAAGTGAACTCCAAATATTAAAAGATAAAAATGTGAAAGAAAGCTGTTGTTATAATGAAGTTTGTTTTTCTTTAAGGCATAAGGATTTTAATTATGGTGTTCATAAATCAAGTGTTGAAACACCTATAATTTGACAGAGAAAGTTTCTTTATAGGATTAAAAGCATGTTCATCAATGCACAAGTGCCTATCTGCCTTTTATCTGACAGAAGTGTCAAATGGGCAATGTTGTTAAAGTGTTTAAACCATATAATATTTGCAACAAATATGATATTTCAGCAGTCTGAAAATTACAATGCTCATAATGAGGCAGTTAAATTATACTCTATCAGTCGGATAGTGAAACTGCTCTAGTTAGTGTACATTAATGTATGCTTGTTCACACAAGTGATTCTGCTGAACAAGTAGCATGTTTAAACAAGAAATACTGGTCTTAAACCCTGTGATTTACAGTAGGTGGTGTTTTGGCATATCACGCAGTTAACAAGGCAAAGCTTCATGTTAAAATATTTCGTTTGTAGTCTCATTCATCACTGATATAAATATTCAGTAGCGATGCCAGAAAACGTATTGTATTCCTATTTGACTCAATGACTCGCTTGCTTGCCTTTTTTTTTTGGAAACAAGATCTATGCTATCTTTCTGATGCAGTTTTCAGATATTTCCTTGTGGTCAAGATGAATTCTGCGGGATTGTGAAAAACTACCAGCTCTTTTGACAGCTTTCATGTTCTCTTAAGCTAATACAAAAAAATACGTTGTCCTTAAAGCAGCAGAGGCTTTGTTTTTAACTCTCTGTGCCAAGCTCTAACGCAGGTTCACGTGTGAGCAGGTTTGTTAGTTTATGTTGAAAAGAAGTCCCTATAGGACAGCCTTTTGTTATAAAATAAAAACAC